AGTTTGTGACACTCATGTATATATAAATGAAGGAATATTGGGTTATATTATCATCCTTCCCCTAATTGGTTTAAGGTTTATAAGAGCGGCCTCCATAGTCTATGGGGTAAAGTTCCCACCTCATGACTCAAGGTACGCGGGTTCAAACCCGGCGGAGGTCGTGGAATTTTTAATGGCGGAAAAATTCAGGGAACAAATCCTCCGGGTGGGACTTTAAGCCATGGGTCCAGTTTCGTAGACTTACGGCACGTAAAAGATCCTCATGTCTCTAGGAGACCTCTGAGCAACATTAGGCAAAGTTTCTCGCCCAAGTAGTTTCCAATTCCTCCGGTAGATGGGGAAGTATCGGGTACCACTGCCAGAGAGGTGGCCGACCTCGCTGGCAAGACGGAGCTGATAGAGAGCACCAGTACTGGCAGGGCATGGCGACTGGTAGAATATCAAAAGGGGACTTACAAACTACTAGTCGCAGTGCATTGGGAAACCCATCCCCTCTACAAATAATAATAATAATAATAATAAAGGTTTATAAAATGATACCTGTGACAATAGTGTTGAGAAATAGTAAAGTTGCATATATAGAGACTGGTGAACCAAATTTATGTGTAGATAAGATCAGGCAATGTTATTTTAAAATTAGTAATGAGGAATTAAATAAATGTAAAATGATAGATTCCCAGTCTAGGATATGCAAACAGACATGTCCATTATTGTCAAGCCACTTACCAGAGGCATGTGTTGTTAAATTGTTACAACAAAGGAAGGAAATTCCAAGAAACTCTGATACCAGGTTAGTCCAGATTAGATACACAATTTGGAGCAGTGTGACAATAATGAATGGATATATTTTGCAGGTGAGAGTGTAACTATTGTGTATGAACCATGACCCTGAAGACGTTACACTTACAGACGTAGGCAAAATATCTTTGAACACAGGTTGTAAAGGGTATATTTCATTTGCACACTTAGAGACAAAAGTTAAAGTAAAGACAAAAGAGGTAAAAGGAGAAGATTTGATCTCTCAAATACCAATAAATAAAGTTAGTTTAGAAGAATTATGGAGTCACCCAAGGTCAGTACAACATCCATTAACCTTGATTTCAAGCATGTTGCTTCACATTTAGATGATCTCAAACATGCTAGTTACAAGATATCAGAATTGGAAAGGGAAATATAGGAACAAGAATGGGAAAACCATCAGACGATAATACACACCACATACTCCGCTATGGTGTATATTTTACTCAGCTAAATAGTTGTGTATGCATTGTATAGACTGTACAGGTACTTACATTATCATTTTGCAAGAGGAACTAGAGCTTTAACAGCACCTTCTAAAGAAATTCAGACCCCTGGAAGAACAGAAGGTAATGGAAACACAGTTAACACAAACATCAAGACTAGTAATGAAAGTTTGTCCATAGAACAAGGAGAAACACCACTACAGAGTTCGTACCAATTGATGGAGGATGAGGCGGGACCCAACAGGTCCTTCCGGACCCGTGCAGCAAAATCATACCTTCAGGCCCAAATAAGGTGTAAATTCGACCGTATTCTAATGTGTGAGGTGTTGTATATGCTAATGATATCGGGTGACTGAAACAATAAATTAAAATAATGTATGAATGAAATAGCAAAACTTGTGGCACGGATGGTACCACGAGAAAATATTGTAACTTGGACTTTCACTGATGTTGATTTGGTTTCTCAAAAGTTATTTCGCCCTGTATCCCGAGGCCAAAGGCCAAGGTAGTACGTGCTTGCTTTCATAAACACAGTACCCTACATCGTAAATGTTCAAGACCAATGTACAATTAGGTCAAGATCTATACAGTATCCTCGAGCATGGTCGATGTCATCGCAAGGGGACAGTTCAGTAGAGATTTCTGGGAGAAACAACCCCTAAGACCACTATATAAACTAAATTTATACAGTTGTAAACAGCTCTCTGACCAGTCATTACGAGTGTGTACGTGAGGACTTCGTACTGTTTAGAGGCTGGCTTTTGCCATTGGCCTTGTGCGATATACCTGTCTTCTATTTTGTACGTTTATAACTTGTGTAAAATAAAACCATTGTTTTGAGCAAGCTCTGTTACCGGTCATCTCCATCCATCAAGGCAATGCAATTACAGCTCTTGCTTGGCTACTACTTCCTTTATCTCCCTGAATTCGTGGGGTTCAACAAATAAAACAGTCACTGAGGCTCTATAGGCTATATGCTTCGTACTTATAAATGTTGCTTTCCATTCAAACATACGTTTTATTGATGGTGAGCACTGCGTTATTAATAATCGTATGCCCGTTGAGAAACGAAAGGCACAAAATATACCCTCTTAATACCAAATGACATAAGAAAACAAATAATAATGCGATGAATGCTAATTTTGAACTCTTTCTAACTATTACTTCATAACGTATGGGAATGCATCTCATCAATTTTTTACTTCAGGAACCTAAGAATTAAATCCAAGGAGCCATGAAGGTTTGATTTGTAATGTAGTTCAGAAATCGTTCTTAAAAATGTGAAGGAAGCCACTTAAATGAACATTGTAATAACGCTTTACAGCAGAATATAATCCTGTTTTTAGGAGAGGTCTCTCATTTGTATTTCTGCTATACGGTACCAGCCAGAACTGCTGGTTAATAATGTGTTTCCTCTTAAAGAAGCTTAAATATGAGTTTTCTATTTGCAACAACAAATAATATATACAGGAGCAAATGGGGATGGATTCAATGTTCATATTTGCAGTTGCGAACGGTGTATTCACAATTAATTGTATACAGCGAGTCTCCTTGGTCATTCTTTAGTCGTATATGTACTAATAATGGCAGTCCTATAAGAACTTCGTTTTGTAATGCGGAACAGAATCGTGACAAAACCCCCATACGAAGCGCGTGCAATTGACAAATATAACAGCCGTTAGTACCTGATCCTAACACTTTTGAAGGTGAAAGTGCTATGGCAAAATTGAAAATGTATAAATCGCCAAGTAGTGATAAAATTCTGGCAGAGATTATTCAAGCAGGAGGCGAAATATTACGTTCAAAGATCAAAAATCCAATTACTTCTACTTGGCGTAAGGAAAAATTACCTGATCAGTGGAAGGAGTCTATTATTGTACCAGTTCACAAGAACGGTGATGAAACTGACTTTAGTAATTATCGGGGGATATCATTGCTATCAACTCCATACTAAATTTTATCCAATATTCTTCTTCCAAGGTTAAGTCCATATATAGATGAAATTATTGGGGACCATCAGTGTGGGTTTCGACGTAACAGATCAAGTACAAATTAGATCTTTTGCATTTGTCAGATATTGGCGAAAAAATGGTAGTACAATAAGCTATTGCTAATAAGCTACATCAGCTATTCATAGACTTCAAGAAAGCGTATGATTCAGTTAGGAGGGAAGTATTGTACAATATTCTGATAGAGTTTGGGATACACATGGAACTAGTTAAGCTGACTAAAAAGTGTTTAAACGAAACGTATAGTAAAAGTCCATATAGTTAAACAATTGCCTGATAAATTTCTTATCCAGTATGGTCTAAAACAAGGAGATACTTCAGCACCACTGATTTTCAACTTTGCTTCAGATTATGTCATTAGGAATCTCCAGGAAAACCAGGTGGGACTAAAATTAAACGGGACGCATCCGCTCTTGGTCTATGCTAATGATCATGAATCTACGGGGGTTCATATATTTGGGAATGACTATAATGACTATAACAAATCAAATCCTGATTCAGGAGGAAATTAAGAGGAGATTGTACTCGGGTAATTATTGTTACCATTCAGTCCAGAACTTTTGTCTTCCCGTCTGCTGTCTAAAGACATAAAAATCATAATATATACGAAATTATAATTTTGCCTGTGGTTCTGTATGGGTGTGAAGCTTGGTCTCAAACATTGAAGAAGGAACATAGACCGAGGGTGTTTGAGAACAGGTTGTTGAGGAGAATATTTGGACTAAGGGGAGATGAAGTGACGGGAGATAGGAGAAGACTACGTAAAAAACGTCATAACTTAAATTCTTCACCAAATATAATTATGATGACGAAGTCATCGAGGATGTGTTGGGCAGAGCATGTAGAACGAATGGGTGAAGAGGAATGCATATAGATATTGGTGGATGAGACGGTATGGTCTGGATCGATCCGGCTCAGGATAGGGAAGAGTGGTGGGCTCCTGTGACCGCCGTAATAAACCTTCGGATTCCATAAAATGCTGGCAAATTCTTGAGTGGCCTCACAATTAGCGGCTTCTCAGAAAGGGCTCAGCTCCATGAGTGAGTGAGTCATTCAGTCAGTGAAATCTGGTTGGTGGATTAGTGAGTTAGTCAGAGAACTGCTGCTTTTCTGTGGTTTTGAGCTCTTGCTGTTTGAAGCTAGTAGATGACGCCGGTGACCGTTCGGGAACCCAGAGGAAGGGGGGTGTCCGCAGTTGGTTGCCGCTATCAAGTAACGGCTATAGCAGAGCATGAAGACTTTACGTGTGCTGTAGTTAAGGTAATCTTTGGTTTGTGTAACTCAGTGCAACTGTAGTAGTTATTTGTAGTTACGTTGTTAGTATTCAATAAATCCTTTAACAATTCAAATCCCTTTTAAACTCTCTCCATTACGTGACAGTATCTAAAAGAAAAACTTCCTTTTCAATTCGAACACAAATGCCGATCGCTCACCAAGGACGTCTGGTCCATATGCAGCGAACTGTTAGAATGGCTTTTCCGTGTTGACGAGAACACATGAATTAGATGCCTAACCTAGAAATATTTAGAATCTGCTGACAAATTGTAATTAGTCTGGGGTTTATTAATGCTATAATTTCCACAGTTCAGACTTTATGTAATCAGTACAAACTGCATCCGAATACAAACAAAGAAGGAGACACTTTTGTTGCAGAGAGCTCAGTAGAGTAAGAAGTCGAAAAGTTCCGCTCTTGAAAGTTAACACATCACAATTTCCGACACTGCATTCTCAAGGAGATTGGAATGTGTCACCAGGTCTTCTTTTCGCAGAAGAATGGAAGTTTCCATGGACACGGGATGTCCTTCAAACCGCCGTTCCGATGGATTGATCCACAGTTCTCATTACCTCCTGCGTTGTCGGGCTGTTTGAGAGATGCCCAGCGAGCGAACCCCATGCTGCTCAAAGGCTTTCCTGCAGAAAAGTCTCAAGTATATGAGAACAACTGGGAAGCTATGCTCAGAAGTACCGATATGACCGGAACAAGTGTGTTGCAGTTTGCACACCTCATTCTGTTCAATGTGCCTTTATATCAGATTCAAACCTAGTGTTTCTAAGGAAAACATTCACATTGCATTGGGTCAGAAAATGTTTCGTGTTTTATTTCTTTAACATTGTGTCTAGTATGGTTTCAAATACTCCTTATATTTTAATGGCGTACAATTTTATTTGTCAATGAGGCTTTCATTATATCAGCAAGTCTCACTTTGAATTTTGTGTAAAATGTGGATTTTAATAAACCAAAGTGAACCAAAATTAATTTCGATCCAGACCTGTTGACAGGCACGACTCCCTGCATTGACGTCTGACAGGATACCAATGTAGGAATGAATTCTGTGCCGCAGTACACAGTGGTAATTTCTTAGTGTATCTGAAGCTTCATTTCTTGTAACGACAAAGAGACTCGCCATCACCAAAATGTTATATTATATCGATTCATAATGAAATGGACCCTGGCTGTTTGTTCCTTGGATCAAGTGGTGCTTCAAATAAAAACCTCATCTATGTCTTGAGGAAATTTACGCGTTAAACGTATGAAATTAAAATTTGAAATTTACTTAAAATAATTTCTCTAATTTCAGTTACACCGCAATAATATATTCCTTGGGGGGTGTCATTCTGGACGAGATGCAATATATGAGAATAAAAGAAGCATAAAATTAGACGGGGGTTAGTGTTGTTGATTCTCCAACTTAATCCCCATTGTCCAGAAGTGAGTAACACTCGACCAGATTAGTAGCCAGACTGTACCTTTCTGTACGGTGTGCTGAGTTGTAATAAATCCAGACGTAAACTTAATGATGAGGAAACAACTGCTGTTCTCGTCATTTTGAGGTTATAGAAAGCTGCCGTGTGTTCAGGAAAGAAACAAATCATATTTCTGGATGCAATGAGATTTGAAATTTGTCAACCAAAATATCCTTGCCATTCGTCCTTCGTTTCATCTTGCAGTAAGCTGCACCGTATGCACTCTTAGAGCTGGAGTTCAGAAATTGAGCACATAATTCTAATTCTGCTAATTATCTCTGTCAACAGCCCTTAGTGTTCGGTTTACCAAAATTATCGTGAGCAGCAGACTTAAATTATAGTTGGTCATAATAAAATATTTACATTTTTCTTTGCTTAATATTGTGCTGGAAATTATAAATAAATATTTATAATTCCTCCTTATGTCTGAATGACATTTGCTTATTTCAGGACGCTGGTTTCCGAATGTAATTCACGAACTGCTGATTAAAACTCGGAAACAGCGGGGACTGGTACCACTGAGGGTGAGGAAACTGTACAATTTTAAGGCTGCATTACCTATAGTGCAATTTCTTCAATACAACCTATGCATTAACTTGTGAGGCATTTGGGTATTTCAGGCTAAGTAAATCAAAATTAAGGACCGAAATATTCAATGTACAAAGAATGTATAAATCCATGGGAGTTTTTAGGAAGACGTTCTTTGGATGGTACTGAGTACTCGGCGTCGTGTAGGGAACGTGCTAAGTGCAGAGAATTTGACTATGGTACAACATGGACAGCAATCTGAGGAGGTTCCCGAGCACGTCTAGACACTGTAGAGAAGAAATGAATGCCTGCTCTCGCCGGGAATGGAACTTAGATTCTGCAATTTCAAACTAACTTACTTGATCTAAAATTGTACGGATACAAATAGAATGTCTGGGCCAAGTATTTATTTTCGTGTAGAGGAGTGTCTCGTGAAGCAAAAGGACAAGAGGAACAAGAAATGTCGGAATGTTGAAATCAACATAAAGAACTTCTGAAGTCAAGGCTGCCGAATATGCAGACAGAGAATAAGGGAGCTGTCTTACCAAACACGGTGAGGTATTCGCCTTCAACGAATCGGTCGTGGAATCCAACGAAGGCGTAGTCGTTGTGGGTAGCGCCTTTTATATTTCTCGCTCCATCTAAGAAATTTTGCATCACTTTGGACTCGGCTTCAGAATTTATGACAACAAGATATCCGCCCTCCTGCTGGCAGATCCGTCTTGCTTCATCCCAAGTCTTCGGAGTTGTGTGAAACTTATAGTAGCCCACACCGGGGAACAGTTCGTACCCTGGTGGGTGGTAGCCCAGAGGGGGTACGGGGGGAGGTGCTGAAACACAATAATTCAAGAGATCTTTCGACTCGGAGCTATGGAACTCTACTGACGCAGTCGCCATGAGGGAGTTTACAGAGACCGGCGCAGAGTATGAATATGCAGTGTAGGAAGCAGTCTTACTGCAAGAATGCGGATTTCTTGATGATGTGGCCTATTCAAGGGTTTTCCGCGGATTGTCAAACCCTTGTGCTTGAAATCTACTTGTTGTACGGCCGTCGTCATTATCATCCTTACCATCTTGTTCATAATCATCAACATCAAACGATTAGAAGTAGATACTATCTGGGTAATTCTGGATGCATATGTATTCTAATATTCCCGAAAGATATAAGAAGATTAGTCAATGAGTTTCAGAAATTCTCTGTTTGTCGAGTGAATACTCCAAGAAAATACGTCATATCAACCGCCACAAACACGTTTTCTTCTTATGCATCGTGGTCCACTTGAGTTTCTCAAATCGTTTGACATCGTCTGTCTGAATCCAGAAGCCCAAGTTCAATTACAGGAAAAACCACAAAAAGTTTTGTGGTGTAGAGAATGTCACTTGGGAAAGACTGGCGCCAAATATTTCCTGTTATACTTACCAACCGCTGACACTCGCCGGCTGATAAATTTATTGACTTTTTGGACATTATCCGTCGTCCCCAGTCCCCACAAGAAAAGTATCTTTGTCAATTAGACCCAACTAAGTAGGCTTTTACCTGATGGCAGAGACAGAACTCAACCTCTGAAGCGTTGTTCAATTAAAATGCACAAAGATGGATAATGTCCAATGTATTGCTGTACCATCGTCATAAAATTAAATATTTTACTCTCAGATTCAACTGTTATGTGTCGAGAACTTCAATTCAAGATCTGCACTCGGACCCACTGTGAGGCCCAAGAATTGGGGCATCCTATTCCGTACTAGATATCTCTGATAACAACTTAAAGCCTTCCTGAATATTATCTCAGACATGTAAAAAATCTAGCCTGTTATTGAAGCCACAGTCTGAACAGAATGGCTGCCATCACACTGCGTACTAGTCTGTTCCAAATCGACGTGCCATAAGCCGGTCTCACTGTGGTCCGAGCCGGTGTGCCCCTGTTCACCGCCGTGCTCCAGCTTCACCTGAAATCACATCACTTATAGTCATTCGGAATACACACAAAATGTGTACAACTGAACCTCATCCCAGGAATTGCTTTCTCAGTATCAACAAAGAAAAAGAACGAATTCTTATTATGATACGGCAGCCATATTCCTTTCGAGTGCCATTAAACGGAAGTAGGAATATTTCGCGAAAATTAGGGACTCAACTCAGTGCAGGGTGGATTTGTTGGTTCAATAAACACGGTGAGAAAATTTTTTGATTCGTTAAAGGACTGTCTATGCTGGTCAGTTAGCTCTTTATGTTACACTGCAATCAGAAAATTTATGTAGTTAATCAGACCTTAACAAACATTGATTTTTGTTCTGTGAGTGTGCCAGTGTGTCAACCCCAAATTCAGAACCTCGCCACTCCTTCGTCTGAATTACAGCTGTGGTCCGCATGAACGTTCACCTGTGCAACCCAGTGACCAGTTTGGTTCCTGTGACTTGAGAGTGAGAACTTGAGGTTAGAAATGTCAGGTGTCTGGCACTTGTCCGACCTAGAAGCCCGTGCCGCTTTTTGACACTCTGACTGCTGACTGTCACCCTGACACACAGCAGCCGGCAACAGTACTGACAGCAGCAGACAAACTCTGGTAGTTGCCATGGTAACTGAAAAAAAAAGGGAATTAAGTTCTAACCCGCATTCTCCAGTAAAGTTCAAAAGTTGCGAGGAACGTCTTGTATTCAGAAAATACCAAATTTTAAACAATGCAGAGTATCTATGGTTTTAAGATGTTTACTCACACTCTGCATGCAACGTTGCTTTAGTTGATTAGCAAAAATGGCTACGGTTCGCTTCCCGCCCGTCTCTTTTGTCAAATGTGCGGCGTACCCAAGATAACAAAATGAACAATTCCATTAGTATCTCTGAGCTTTAACATACTTTCTTCCTGTTCGAATCTTGAATGAGATGTGCTGATATTTTCATAATTTTCGTCAGTTCTGCTAAGCCAGGAATGGGGAACGTATGCCAGTGGTGCCAAAAGTGTCACGCGATATGCATTTGCTTGGCACGTAAGTCTTGCTGATGCCCTGAAGCATTTTATATTTTAAGGTTTATTTTGCACTAACGATTGTGTGGCACTCGATAGACACTCCACAAAAGAGCGATGAATGAAGATATCTGAATATGCCCAAAGATGTGCTAATTGTTTGTTCCGTATATGAGCTATTAACTGCAAGCCCATCCGGGTAATAGAGCCAGTGGAAAAGGTTCCTTTTTAAAATCACAAAAATGCCTAAAATTCCATGAAATTAATGGGAAACATCAGTTGTAAATTTCTTGGGGTCCAAAGACGGTTTCATGGTGTAGATGCGGATATTTCTCAGATCCACCTTCTGCTGCCAGACCACAGATTTGTATAATGAAATGTGAGTTCGTCAACTTCGCGTGCAGTTTCAGTACTTAGAGACTTGCGTTATTCAATTTGGCGATTTTCACATCTGTAAAGGCATCGTATCTGATTGTAATAATTGCAAAACAAATCTTGATCCCACTGGTGGTCACTATATTCTCCTCAACACCTGTTATTAAGCACCCTCAGTCTGTGTTCCTCCCTTAATGTCAGAGACCAAGTTTCACACCCATACCGAACGACAGGAAAAATTATAGTTTTGTATATTCTAATTTGTATGTTTTTGGACAACAGACGAGAAGAAAGAAGGTTCTGGACTGAGTGGTAGCAAGCATTACCCGAGTTCAGTTCCTCCTCAATCACGTTTTGATTTATTATGGTCGTTTCCAAATATCTGAACTGTGTAACATTTTCAAAACATCTGTTTCCTATCTTTATATCATGATTGCCCTGCATTTTGGTGACAAGACCAACCTTCTAACTTGCGTCAATTAAAGTTAAACAAAGACAGCTATGAATGTTATTAAAGGTGTGAATAGAATAGTGGCTGGCTAGGGGCTGAACTACCCAGTCTGGAATCCCGGCAGTGCAAGATTTTTTCTTTCTTACTGCGTCCAGACAGACTTTGGGGCCCATCCGGCGTCCTATTCAAAGGGTACCACGGAATCTTTCCCAGGGATAAAGTGTTAGGAGCGTGAAGCTTACTACTCACCTCTATCTAGTGCCGAGGTCAAGAAAAGTGGAGCTATACTTTAACTCCCCTTACGTCTTCCAGAACTAGATTTTAACTAAGCACACGAAGAACTTATATGCATGGATTAAATTGGTCATATTACTCAGTTACTTACAAATAAAAATGCAGTGGCTACCGTCACGCAAATAAATCTTTTTGTTATTCCCCTTCCTACATGTTTCGGACAAGATAGGCCATCACTACATGATATACAAACGAAACAGTATTCATGCAAAACTGTAATGCTAGCACGGAAACCGCTCCATTTTTATTTGTAAGCACCACAAACTGTGTGCAACATTTCAAGACTTAAATACTTATTATTACTTACGTAATAATATGAAATTCGAAAATGAATCTGTCACCTAGTAACAGCAAACACAATTACATCTCTGCCCCAATGAGATGCCAGACTTCTAAGCGAAATAAACCTACCTCGTGTGAGAATGATGTTCTATGCCGACAGACCCTGTGCTGCACTGTCAGCAGCGTTGATGTATGCCATAAATATGATTAGATAAGATATATTTTTCCCAGAAATACAGTTGGGGTTAGGTGACTGGGATGGTAACGCAATTCATGAGGTCTGAATCACAGGATCACCAGAACAAAACACGGAGCATTCCTAGCGTTTAGTTGAATGATGAGTGCAGTGGTTATGGGTACGTTATACTAATCCTCCTTTAAGCTTGCACCTCACAGACTATACTCCCGTCGTTATTACTGCTTTATTCTTTTTACTGCTAGTGGGGTGGGACTAAGTCCCTTGTACTGCGGCCACTTCTGGCCTATTTTACCAGCCCCAGATGATAAGTGAGGCTGATTGTGGAGCAATTGGTGGAATGAAGATTGGCAGGGGAAACCGAAGTACTCGGAGAAAACCTACCCCAGAGCCACTTTGGCCATCACAAATCCCAGGATGGAACCCGGGCGGCCGCGGTGGGAAGCCAGCGACTAACCGCTTGAGCTATGGCGCGGCCCTGTTATTCCTTTAACTCCCACTAAAGAACTAAAATCTCCCTGCCCACACACCACTCAGTGTCTACGTCTCCAACTGTAACTAACACTTCTCACTCTGTATGTGACTGCCGAATTTTTTCGGCCTCTCTCATGCACTTTTCTGTCCCCACGGCCGAGACTTCTTTCATAACATTTAGGTGGCTCTTCAAGTTACCAGTCCCTATGCCGAAGGCCATGTTTGGAGCCTGTTCCGCAATATGTTTGACGAGGAGATTGTTATCTTAAACCTTCTTTTCATGTTACAAGGTACAAGTGCAAGTAAATTATGACCCCTCCTGGCATGTTTTGCTCAGCATCAAATCACTGATTTCCCAAAATACCTCCTTAGCAAGATGGAAATTTATACTTAAAGTAAACTGATGATCGCGCCATGGAGAGGATACCAGACTCAAATGTAGCATATGATCCCGTCTCCCTGACCACCACTGTCGTCACAAGCCTAAAGAGGATTGTATAAAATGACAATTAGATGGTCAAGGGATGGCATCACGTCACAGGTGCGACTCACATTCTCATTAGAACAACAAATGGACCTGTCATAGCCATAGTTAAACAATTTTAAACGAGGGAGGTACGGTTACATTTCATATATTACATTCATATATGAATGTCCAAGCAAGGACCGATGTTGAGAAATGGTGTCGACAGTGTGACACATGTGCAGCCAGTCGGGGACCGCGGACCAGGCATCGTGGGCAAATGTACCAGTATAATTTTGGGGCTCCATTCGAGAGAGTAGCCATTGATATCGCAGGGCCCTTCCCACGAAGCGACCAAGGAAACCGATACTTACTGATCGCTATGGACTACTTCACCAAGTGGCTGGAAGTGTACGCCATCCCGAATCAGGAGGCTTCAACAATAGCGGAAGTTCTGATTGCCAACCTCTTCTGCCGTTCGGCATACCTCGGGAGCTGCACAGTGACCAAGGCCGTAACTTCGAGTCTCATCTACTGAAAGAAGTTTTGCAATGCCTGGGAGTGAGCAAGACGCGCACCACACCCCTGCACCCGCAGTCGGATGGCATGGTGGAACACTACGTCAAGACCATCGAGGAGTACTTGCGGAAGGTCGTCTCATTGCACCAAAGGGACTGGGATGAGAGGTTACCCCTCTTTCTCCTAGCTTACAGGGCATCCACTCACGACACTACGGGCCTGACGCCTGCTGGTCTAGTGTTCGGACGAGAACTACGGCTACCCTGCGACCTGCTGTTTGGAGTACCCCCAGACAAAGAACAACCCACAACCGACTATGCAGCAGACTTGGTGGATCATCTGCACGACATTCACAATTATGCCCGGCAACACCTGAAGCTTGCCAGTGACCGGGTGAAAACTCGGTACGATAAACTGGCCAACTCCGCAGGTTACGACGAAGGCGACAGAGTTTGGCTCTATCGCCCAACCCGCAGAAAAGGGAAATCGCCGAAACTACAAGCATCATGGGAAGGTCTTTACAAAGTAGTGACCCGGATAAATGATGTGGTTTACCGAATCCAGAAGACCCAGGTCGAGGATGTTGGTTGTACACCTCGACCGGCTCGCGTCTTATCATGGAGCTGCTCGAGATGGGCAACCATAAAAAGGGGGAGGATGTAACAGACGAAGAAAAGTAGCTGCAAGAAGAGTAGCCGAAACAACAGGAGACACCGCAAGCACAGCTACAGGATGGAAAAGGAACGGGGGTGCACCGTTAGGCTAATCGAGACAAACAGCCTTAAGGAGGGAGCAGTGTGACATGTTGACCCCTACCTCCTCAGCTGCACGTACCGGTAACATAGCGCTCGCGTAACAGGTAAGTAATCACCGCGCAACTCTCCCCGCGGTGACGTCACGAGCGGAACCGAAGTGAGCCGAGCGGAGCCGACGTTAGCCGAGTCCCCGCAACCTTGAAGCTATGCAAAGCGAATCAACAGCGGTGACGTCACCGAGGTATATCGCGGTTGCTAGGCAGCAGTCTACAACTCCGGACAGCGTGGCTAGCAACACGGCACCAGACGACAATGGTCCAGACCGAGGCTATGTAAGGAGCAGCGAAGGCTATTCACAGTCAGTCCTGGAGCTACCTCCGAGTGAGTCCTCGAGCTACCTCCGAGTTAGTTCCGAGTTAGCCAGCAACCAGTCAGTTGTATTGTGGCATTTGGAGTATAGTATTTTTGATACTGCAGATAGCAGTAATTGTGAATCTGTAATTTGGGTGATTGTAGGTGCGAATGTGAAATAAAATTCGCTATATCAAATACGGCGTGAAGTTATAAGTCGCGTTATACACCCAATACGCGACAATTGGTGTCAGAAGTCGGATCAGTGTCTAAACACGAGACAACTGGTGTCAGAAGTGGGATTTGGACTTACACACGTGACCAACGAGATTCGAACTCGAAACACGTTACATTGGTGTCAGAATTTTTACGAACTTAAACACGCCTGACAAATAATTGGATTATTGTGCATCGAGTAGTTTACTGCTTCAAAATTGAGGAGCAAGATATGCAACAAATAATCGACATGCTGGCTAGGATGGACGCCAGCATGAAAACCGAGAAGGAACAAATGCTGAGAGAGATTAGGGCAAACCAAGTAAAAGCAGATGCCGACCGAGAGCGAATGGAGACCACTTTCCTATCGAAATTAGAATCCAATCAAGAAAAAGCAAATAGCATGCTGACGAAATTAGACGCCGACTTCAAAGCCTGGCAGGAAGAGACGTTGGCCTGCCCAGTGGACACGATACCTGCGACGGCACAACAAGAAGAGGTTCCCATGGTGATACCGGTCGGAGTGACGATGGCCTACCAAGAAATGGAGGCACGCCCAGAAGAAGAGCCGACTTCAGCTAACAGGAAACCTGAGGCGGCAGAACTATCAGAGGTACCCGTACAGGACGACGCCGAAGTAATGCCGGTCGGAGAACCGAAGAAGAAAAGGCGTCGGGACTGGCATTGACGAAATATGAAGAACCCGACACGGAAAAATTGCGGACCCCAGAATAAATTGGCCGTCGTCCACAGGAAGGTGTCCCGCCGCGCAACAGTGGCATGGCGCAAACGCAACACCTTCAAGAAATCTACGACCCAAGGAAATTGTGGCCCATGGCACGAATTGGCTGCCGACAGCAATTTGAATAGTCGTGCAGGTGCGACACGGCGCAAGGGAGATCCCGTAAGGAGATGCTCAACGAGGGTCAATGCTGAGAAAAAAGCCGGGAAAGGAAGGACGGGAACCGTGACAGGACAGACGTCCGGGAGGCGGCGTCAGCCACAACGGAAATGCAGCAAGTGCATAAGAAAAGAGGACGTGGAGGAACTACTACACCTGAGGGGGAAGACCGGCAACGTGATCTTCAGTGGAAGGTTCGCGACACACGTAGTCGGTACTGCCAACGGGTTACGGAAAATAAGGAAGTGGACATTATGGAGGGGTCGACCCCCTCCAAAACGAAAAAAGAAGCAAGGCATGGAAGAGGAGCCGGAAAAATAGAAGAACCAGCCTCCCCAGAGAGAGTGAATGTGCCATGGGAAAAAGCAATGGATGAATGTGATCTTCTGGCGAGCTGAAAGGAAACCGCTCGAGATGAGCTTTGTCTTAAGAGGGGAGCGGATGTAACGGACGAAGAATAGTCGCTGCAAGAAGAGTAGCCGAAACAACAGGAGACACGGAAAGCACAGCA